TGGGTGATAAGAGAATCTTTGTAGAAGCAGACTGCCAGGTTTTTCTCTCCATCTTTCTCATGTAAAGGTTACAGCTTAGGAAATCTCATGGAGTGGTTCTACTCTACCACTTGTGCTGGCTGTCATTTGTTGATGGCACCCAGCAATAAGTAGCACCATGTAAGCCAGAGGGCTTGGGTGTCAGTAGTGAGAATGTGGACAAAGGGTGCTGGGCTGCCTCATTTGAACAAGGACAGAAGGGCTGTGGGATAGGAATCACAGTTGGAGGGAAGCTACTGTGAGAACAGGGACCAGGCTCAGCCCAAGCCTGCCACCCAAGTGGCTCTGAGGACAAGTGGAAGTGTAACCCTCATGTGATTAAGGTACAAGAGAGAATTCGCTTCTGTGTTCTATTTAGGAAGACCGACTGGAAGTTTGAAATCAGAGGCAGCTCTAGAAGTGGTTTTAATGCCTTTGCAGTGTGACTCTCATTATTCCCAAATCCACTGCTGTCCAATTCCTCCTCACAGCTGGTTTCCAACGCCGTAAACCTTAACAAGAGCACTTTCATCTTACTCTCGCAGGGTGACTAGCAGATTTCAACTGCCAAGCTTTTACCTAGCAGCCCGGTACCTCGCCTATTACATCAGGGATCCTTTCATGCCCACTGACTTCTGCCAAATCTGTTTTAACTCACAGCGACCTCCTCCCAGAGACACAGCAGACTGGATCAAGTAAGCCACCCGGGGATAGTTAATGCTAGGCAGCGCTGAGAATCTACATAGAGCTACCGTTCAGGGACCATGTGCCACCGCTTCATAGGCACTCTCTGAAGCACAACACAACCTAGCGAGAGAGGTTTCCCCCACTGTACAGATGAGAAGACCGAGGATCAGACAAGTTAAACCACCTAAGGACTTCTAGGCTCCTACAGGGCAAATCTAGGTCTGTTTGGCTTTTGCTGCTGTGGCAAAGCCAACCTCCCTCTGCATTTGTACCATGTCTGTAGAGCTCAGTAAGCTGTACAGTATGAATTACATTTCTAAAATCCTCACAAATGGAGTAGTAAGATACATATTACTATGGGATCATCATGATAAAGGGAACAATGACTTAAGCTGTCAAGGATTTTCTTTTACTGGGATCCACAATCAATGTCCATGGAAGCAATAGTCAAGGAATAAAAAGCTCTTTGGCAAATCTTCCACTTGAGCGCTGGACAACTGTTACTTACAGCTCATCACCTGAACTGGCGTTTCTAACGTCTGCTTCTTTTGAGTGTCCAGTCTCCAAGCGACCCCAGGAAAGGGGCTGCTGTTGGAATTGCTCTGAAATGAAAACCTTCTGAAAAAACACAGCAATACTGGTAAGTCTGCAAAACAGCCCAATTTCCCCATGCTGTTCTGTCATCTGTACTACAGGTGAGGGAATTAACAGAGCTCAGATTGGCGTTTCCCCTTCACCAGGCTAATAAGTATCCACACTGTTCTGTAGTGGGGCGGGTGTCCAAAGGCTAGTCCAGTAATTGAAGTTTGAGCATTGATTATTCTTTTTATAGTTACGGTCTATGCAAAATCTCCCTTCTAGAAAGCTCTAGTGATGTCAAATAAATTAACTGTTAGTGGAGTTAACAGGAATAGATTTAGAACTCAAAAGGGAAAAGGAGTTTTCTGAGATCTGGAGAGAGTTGAAAGCTCTGCTTCATTGGTTGGAGAAGAGACTCAAGTGAGTATTTGTCATAAGCGCTCAGTCCAGGACCTGGCTGCAGTTCTCTAACATGCCAGTGACACTGACATGGTTTTACAAATAAATCACTAAATGTGGATGAACTGAAGAGATGAAAGGTAAAGCTATGTTTAATAAAGAAGTAATGCAGGGTCTAATAAAGAAGTAATGCAGGGTCTAATAAAGAAGTAATGCAGGGTCTAATAGAGTTGATGTGGAAATAGTGTTTAAATGAGTAAACAACCAATTGCCATGGAATCCATTCTGACTTACAGTGACCCTGTACGACAGACAATTGTTCCACAGGGTTCTAAGACTGTAACTCTTTACACTAGCAGAGGTGTGGCTGCTGCAGTCTGCTGGCAGCTCCTATAAATGAAGATATATTAGTCATTTGAGTATGTGTGGATATTCTTAAGGGCCTAAGGAAATTTGAAGACAATAATACAACATGAAGTTTAAGTAGCAGCTTAAACATTTTTAATGTGTTGATTTAAGATGTCTCAAGGAACCCTCATGGTCCAACAGTTAAGCACTTGTCTGCTAATGGAAAGTTTGGAAGTTCGAAACATTGCAGCTCTTAAGAGAGAAAGACCCAGCAATTTGTTCCTGTAAAGAGGACAGCCTAAGAGCAGTTCTCCTCTGTCACATGGGGTCACTGTGCTTGGAACCAACTAGACGGCAACACACAATGAATTCTGACATAAAGTGACAAATCAACTTCAACTCTTTGCTTACATTTCCAAATTTCAAATGAGCTAAGTGTGACTTAATGGGGAATCGGAATCAATTTGATGGTAATGGTATTTGGTGGTTTCTAACCCCTATCTGATCACACAGTGGATCACACATTGGACTGCTAACTGAAAGGCTGGGGGTTCAAACCCGCCAGTTACACCAGGAAAATGATGAGCAGTGCGTTGTGCTGTGTGGGGCTGTTAAGTGAAGCGTCGAGGTCAGGTCACAGAAGCACAGTTCTTACACACATATGCAGACAAATAATGCTGTGATTACAGAAAGGATGACTTTATTCCATCTGGATGATTGTCACACCATCATTGCAACACATATGAAGAAACCTGAAATAATTTAAACTGAAGGCACAGGACAAATCAAAACATCTGTCAATGAGTAACATGAGAAAACCAAATATCTTAGTAATAACAATAAATTATGAGTAAGCTTCCCTTACCAAATATACTGACTGAAGGGACAATGATGGTCTGTAATAAAACACGTAGCTTCAGCTGACTCCAGGGTGATTTCCATGATGGTAGTATTAATAAAAACAATTTCTTCTTTCAAAATGCTCATTAGGCCCTGGGGTTCTGTGGAAGTGTTTGTACAGATAAAGCTGCTGTTGGGATGCTCATTCCCCAAGAAACAACACATTCTTACAAAAAGTTTTAAAAAACAGTAAAGTAGGTTATAAAATTCTATTTTGGGGAGTGCAGGAAAAACACTTGTTCCATGTCAATTACAACACCAAAGCACATCAGTATCAAACTGCTTCAAAAATCAGTCTTTGCCTGACAGTAATATACTGTATGGGACATCCCACTATTTCCTGCCTGAGGCTGAGCCTACACCACCGTGAGGTGCTTAACAAGTCGGGAGCAATTCTGCTGTCAAGTCTTCTTCCAAAGGGATCTGTTTTTTAAAGACAATCATACTACAACTAACTGAGATATTCGGTGACATGCTACAGACACAAAGCTAAGTTTGCAAGGAAAGTGGTCATGCGTCCCACTTTAATGTTACTGTAATGTTCTGAAATACATTCTCTGAGAATCAATACCAGTTAGGACAGAGGCCACTTGTAAATTAGCTCAGATGCTGAACTAGCTTCATCAATGAAACTTTTTTCAAGTATACATAAGATAGATACGGTAACACTATTTTCCTCTAACTTTGTAGTCTCCCCAAGGGCAGCCAAGCTGAATCAAGGAGAGACTTAACAGGTTGGTCAGTGTTGCAGAAGACATTTTTTAAAAAGATGAGAAATAGTGTATTGACTGAGAGCTGACTTAAAGATATTAACACATAAAACCTATTTCAGATAAAAAAACAAACAAAAAAAACCCCTTTTCAGTCCCTTACTTAAAATCATTATATTCATAAGAAAAGAAATAATAAGAGAAAAAAGTTTCTCAGAGACTCAAAATTCTATCAGAACAAAATTAAGTCTCTTTTTCCTATTTGGCTGTGATACGTGAATTTAATAGCAGTATGGTTTTATTTTTATCACCTAGTTTAATTGAAAAAAATCACACAAATATTTCCAGCCAAGATAGCTGATAAGTATAATACAAATTCTAGTAATGATTTTTCTTTTAAGCAAAAAATGTGTCAAAATTTTCCTATGTAACAAAACATTCCTTTGGAAATTAGTCTTTGATACTACAGGCCTGTTTGAGGAAAATGTTGCTTTTACCATTTGCCATCATTAAACCTATAATTATCTTTCACATTAATTTTTATCACTGAATAGATAGATACATGTTTTATTCTCTATTATTCTAATAATGGTATATTATTTTTTCCATAGTTTCTTTTGGGTGCAAATCTACATCACCTATGAGTATTAAATAAGAAACAAAGTAAACCAGGAAAAAAATCATTTTATAAAATATAGGATGGATTTTTGAAATGTTGGCACCGAAGAAAAAAAGGAAATGGTTACCACCCGAATCTAAAATGCAGCCATTCACACTGTTGGCTTATTGCCTGCACTAATGCCAGCCTGTATGATTATTAAGACAAAGAACCCCCAGCAATCCTTTCCCGGGTGAGCTCTGTCACAGTTTGGATGAGCTTCACCCACTTCTACAAGGACCTCTGGTGTTGCTGTGTGTTACATGTTGGGCTGCCAACCACCAAGCTGGCGGGTCAAACCTAGCCAGTCGCTCCATGGGAGAAAGAAGAGGCCATCTGCTCCTTCTAAGATTTACAGCTTCAGAAACCCAATGGAATGTCACCATGAGTTGGAGCTGGCCCAATGATAGTGGGTTTGGTTTGATTTTCATGCATTTCTCCAGGTAGCATCTGATAACCGAGAGCCTGAATTCTGAAAATGCAAACATACTGGAGTTTGTGGAAGACTGCATCCAGGCTCAGAGAAAGCAGTTAATGTGAGGAAAACCATTTACACAGGAAGGACAGTTGTAGTGGTTTTGGGCCCTGTGGATACCAGCTGTGTCAGCAACTCCCACCAACCAGAACACAATGGAACCAAAGGGTTTTCTTTCATGAATCTTAGAAAGGAAGATGCTCGACTCAAAACCAATTCCCGAAGTCTATACGAGGCTTCCAGGCCAACAGATAACTGTTAGTGTGACTTTGTTCCTCTGCTCTTTCAGCATGGGTACCAGTGCTGAGTGGCTCATGCCCACTGTCGACAGGCCATTCACGGCTACAATCATGTCTCCACACCTGAAAGAAAGACAAGCACAAACAGATGAGCATGCTGTGACTATTTTTAAGATAAGAATTCATCATCCCACTTGAAATTTGTTTGGCATGGGAGGAAAACATCATTTAGCAATGAAGCGTCAATGATTAGTGTGTATTACGTTGGAGACCACCACCTCTGTGTCACTGTCCTCCTGTGGTGGCTGGATGTTGGAATCCAGGGGGTCACTCAAATTGAGCAGGTTTCACCAGAGCTTCCAGACTAAGGCAGGCCAAAAAGAAAGAGGTGGCCTTCTCTTTAAAAAACCAGCCCATGAAAATGTTCTGGATCATAGGACATGGTCCAGCTCATTGCTTTGGACATGCCATCAGATCAGTGGCTGGACGTGAACACTGTATTTGGTGGGGTAGAGGGCGAGGGAAACCCTAAGGTGAGATGTGGCGGTGAGGAGCCGTTAAGTTAGCTTTTACTCACAGCAGCAACATGTATCGGAGGACAAAATTCTGCACCATCCTCACAACTGTTGCTATGCTTGAGTCCGTTGATACAGTTGCCATGTCAATTCACCCTGGACTGACAGTAACAATGGGCTTCAGTGTGGTGGAGATGGCACAGGACAGGGCAAGGTTCTGATCTGTGGCTCATAAGGTCACTGTGAATCACAGTCATTAAGATAGCACCTAACCAACAATAACTACTTCACCAAGCACAATGTCCTCGTCCTGGCTGATAAGGCATCCAGAGAACAAGTGAAACTGATTGGTACAACAGCCACAATGATGCAAATAAGCCAGGTGCCATGAGGATCACAGATGGCTGGGCAACGCTTCCTGCTGCTGTACACTAGGCCATAAGGTGGAGCTGACCACCTAGGAGAAGCATTGAGAGCAAACGTGAAGCCCTATTTATTGGCCCTCCTTTGCCAATCCAGTGCTAGACCCTCCTATAACTAACTCGTGGTGAATGCCAAGGGCAAACAGGTGAGATTTCATGTAATTGATGCTGTAGTTTAAGAAAAACGTAATTGGAAGAGTAAATCTGCCGACTTTTAAAAAAATCCCATAAAATGCATGTTGAAAGGTTAGCCAGCATTCTGTTGTCTATTTCTGTGTTCATTTTCACAGTTCATAAATCCTAAAGCTGAAGTAAATGGAGAAATCATATTTTCATTCTTTTAAGTATGTGATACTATCCTCCAAGCAAAGCATCAGATGGGTGAACAATCTGCAGGCCTGTACCATTCAAGTGCCTGCAAGATTTCCAGTCTTTAATTCAGTCACCTTAGTGAATATGCTCTGTTATTGCCAGCGACTTCAATTTCTTTTTGGAAGCAGATGGGATGCAAATTATAAAGTAATTAAATGAGGTGCTACCTTGTTTAGTATTCAAGTTATAAAGATGGTTAATTCATTCTCCCCTCCTAAGGTTGATTTCCATCCCCCCGTCCCCTTTTTCCCCATTTTATCAATATAAGCTGATATGGAACTTGCTGGTCTTAATTAGTCATGTAAGATATTTAGATGTCACTTTTTTTTCCTGCCAAGGCTGCATACTCTCCACCTATATAGCATTTCATCTAGTATACCAGCACTTTTATCTTAAGAGCTGGTTTGTCTATCAGGAGCAAAGCTTTGGCAATGAGTGAACATCTCTGATGTACGACAATCTTCTTAATAAATATACACACACACATATAACGTACATGCATACATACAGTATTAGATCTCCAGCCTTGGAGACCTAATGGAGGGTCATGAGGTGGAACTGACTGTGTCAGTGGGTTTGGGGTACAGATAGGGGTAAAAAGATATATACGTGCACTCACACACACACACACACACACTAAACAGAGCCCTAGTAGTGACAGTTAATAGCAAGTGACTTAGTGGCTAACACGTTTGGCTCTTAACCAAAAGGATGGCAGCCTGAGCTGCTCTACATGAGAATGTTGTGGCAGTCTGCTTCCCCAAAGATTATAGATTTGGAAGGGGTTCTGGTGGTGTAGTGTGTATCAAATTGTGCTGCTAATCAAAAGGCCACGGACTTGGAAACCCTGTGGAGCAGATCTGTTTGGTCATATGGGGTCACTATGTGAGAAGGCAAGTGGGTTGGTAATCACATAGGTAACACACTGCTTGCCATTTCAGTTGTCATTACATGGTAACATCTTGACACGAATGCGCTTCTCTCTCCTCCCAGAGCCTGAGCCTTGAAAAGCAAGCAGGCTGCACACTGACCAAGCTGTGTTCTGTTTGGTGGGGGCAACCAGTAGATGGGGACAAAAGCAGGTACAGGTCAAGTGCAGGGTCTAGAGTTAGTCCTGGGTTTGAACTTGGCTCAATTGCTCTCAGCCATCTGATCTTGGGCAAGTTTTTTACCTCTGTAAGCCTTGGTTATCTCATTTGTAAAAGTAATAATAGCACTTACCTCCACAGGCGTGGTAAGATTAAATAACACAACAGATGCATAGCATTTAACAACACTGTGCCCGGCATGCTGTCAGCGAGTACACAAGCATTCATCAGACACTTTGAGTCTTTGGTGCATGATATCAGTCAGTGTTAGTACTGTTAGGAACATAACAATTATGATAAAACCCCTCTGTCTTGCCTAAGCTTGCCTAACAGCCAGTGTCAATGGTGTCAAGTGCCGTAGACAGGAGTAAGGTAGCAGCATCATCGGATGAGTGACTGCCTAAGTCAGGTTAGAATGCCTGGAAAAACTGCTGTGGGCAAGCCGTCCAGCCACACTGTTCCCAATCAAATGACTCAGCATTTGATCATTGTTATTACATTAACAAATTGTAGCTGTGAGTGATAATATGGTGCAAGTGCTGTATCACTCTAAGTCAGGGGTCAGCAGATTTTTCTTGCAAGTAGTGAGGAAGTAACTATCTCATGATGATTCCACTCTGCTGGTGCAGTGCGGAAGCACTCACTGCCAATTACATAAATGAATGAGTGTGCATGTGTTCTAATAAAACTTTATTTACAAAAACAGGCAGCAGTGCTAACTCTGGTCCTAGCTCGTGCTCATCTCAATAAACATTTACCACATTGTTCATTATACCAAGACTCACTTCAGTCTTCCGTCATAGTAAGCAGGTGTTCCCAGGACAATCGTCTTAATGAAGAAAGGCTGATTGGTGTGATTCTCCTCATATCCACCAACAATACTAAAACCCCAGCTTCCCAGGTGGCTTCTTCGTAAGACTATATCATGGCAGCTATGAAGGGCACTGAAAATGAGCACACATATGAGAGAAAAATCAATGTGGAGGTTTCCCAGCCTGCTCAGCTTTGCTATAGCTCCACACCATGTTAACTCATGTGAAGGAACAGGGGGCGACCTCAGTTCTTTTGGAATATTGTTCTGACAGCCCATCTTTTAGCACAGAGGCAGTCTGAAATGTCCAACTTCTCAAATTCTTTTCTTAAGTGAATATATACACAAACTGAAAGGGAAGGAGAGGTGGAGGGAGGGAGAGAGAACATGAGTGAGCAGGTAACAAGCTAGAATGGATTTCACTCAAACTGGACCTTAGACATGGCTGTTACTTTATTTCCTTATTTGCTCACTACGCTGTCACAAGATCTTCAATTCTCATGTTCATTTGTATCTACAAAAATGCTAACCAAAAGGTCAGTGGCTCAAAGCCACTATTCCTTAGAAGAACAATGTCACAGACTTCCGCTATCACGATTCCAGCCTGGGGAACCTTGTGGTGCAGTTAGTTCTACTCTGTCCTTTAGGATCACTGGGGAGCTCTGGTGGCCTTGTGGTAACAAGCTGTGCAGCAATCCTGAAGGCATGTGGTTCAAAGCCACCATACACTCCGTGGGAGAAGGATGTCCACGGGAGGTTCCAGTATGAGTTGGGTTTGACTCGACATAAGCTTGAATGGGACTGAAAACTATAAAAGTAGTTACAAAGTAGTGTGAACAAATTCTACTATGGCTGATCTCAGCACTCAGATAAAGACATGTGTGGCAGACACTGCAGGTTCACATTTCCCTAAGCGCGGACAACTCTGCTGAAGGCACAGGAGACCCACACCTTTCACCCACAGGAGGGGTTCTGAATGGTTCTCTCCTCCTTCACTTTAAAACACATCACTGTAAGGCTGATTCTAATTACCAAATCAGGGAACTCAGGGAAGAAGAAAAAAAAAACCAAAAAAACTTAAAAAAAAAAAATTCCTTCTTTATCACAGACAGTCAGATGCTGTGATTAAAAAGCCACCGTTTAAAAAAAAAAAAAGCCACCGTTAGTTTGGAAGACACTGTCCAGGGAGGAGGGGTAAAAATTTACTCACATTTCCACAAATATTGATTTGGAAACAGGCAGTGAGCAACTGGGTTAAAAAAATCCCCAAACAACAAAGGGGTAAAGGGAAAGGAGCCAAATAAAATAGGCAAACAAATACTAAAACCTCTTTGTAGAAATGTATTTTTTAGGTAAAATTTTATATAGAGGTATTTAAAGTAAGGTTTTCTGTCCCTAATCTAGCAGAAAAGATTTTCAACTACAGCTGGTCCCATGGGATAAAGTACAACGTGCTAGAACTTGGAACCAGGTCGGGCTTCTTGGCTCAATGACAAGAAAGCTCTGACAGCCTCTGGCTGGGCCAAGGTCCTGAGCACTGGCACAGTATTTGAGGGCTATCACTGTTTTCAAGGAGCTCTGGTGGTGTACTGGATGAAGAGTTAGGGTGCTGACAGGTCAGAAGTTCAAACCCATCAGTCACTGCATGGGAGAACAGTGGTGTGTATGAGGATAATTCTGTGTGCAAATGTGTTAAAAGAAAGGGTGGGGGAGGAAAGGCAGCTAAATTAAACAAGAAAACAAACACTAAAACCTGGAGTTTAAAACTGCAAGAAAGGGGTTTTAGAAAGGCTTCTGTGAGGAGGCAGGAGCCATGCCACGGCCTGGTTTTTCTGGTGACAAGGAGATGTGACATATAAGCACTCATCAGAATCACACCTGGGAAATGTGAGGCTTCTGAATAAGAGCCTGATCATGGCCATCATCTTAGTGGAGGCGAGAGGGTGGCTTTACCAGCGTGTTAACAAATCTTACTTTTTTCAGTTCAGTTCCCATCATTAAATTTATCATTAAAAATGTACCAAAGACAGCCACTTCCCTCTGGACCTGACTGGACCTATCACTTGTATAGAATCAAGGCCCCTGCCATAACCCCTCACTGATCAAATGGACACAGGACCCCAGGGATACGCTGTACCTTGGAAGCCCGAGCCACATGACCCAGGACGGGGACCAGCTGGCGTCGTACTCGTTCTCACTGAAGGTGCTGGGCTGCTCCCCAGGGGTCTGTGCGGGCTCCTCAACGACCTGGACCTCCAGGGCTTTGAGAACAACTGCTGGGGAGGCGGCGCTGGCCTTCAGCATTGCAACAGCCTCGCTGTGACTCAAGTTGGTCAAGTCAATGCCATTGATATTCAGCAACACATCACCTAGTCAAAGGGAGAAAGAAGCAGGAAGAATGAGTGGGGCCACTAGGGGAATGGTCCTTGGCAAACACTCATCTGTGAACCAACCAGGAGAGTTCAGTTCTGATAACAGCTGTTAAAAACCAAAAGGGTATTATTTTTTATTTCTTTGCAATTGTCATAATGCAGAGGAAAATGCTAACTCATGGGAAACATTCCAAAACCATCCAGAAATTTGACATAATCTCATGGTGTTGTTAGGGCTGCTGTCAGGCTGGTTCCCACTCGTTACTCTATGACCAGAACGACACCCTGCCAACTCTGGGGCCACCCTCTCAGTCACTGCAGTATTGAGCCCACTGTGCAGCCATGTGCCAATCCATTTCATCGAGGGGCTTTCTCCTTTTTTCGCTGACATTCTACTATGCCAAGTGTGAGTCTTCCTCCGAGAACTGGTTCCTCCTGAAAACGTGCCCAATGTACGTGAGACGGAATCTCATCATTCTAAAAAATATTCAGGCTGCACTTCTTCCAAGACAAATTTGTTCCTTCTTCTGGTTGTTACTGTGTATTGTTGAGTTGGACTGACCCACAGCTGCTCCTCCAGGAGGTTTTCAGAAGCAGTTAACTGCACAGGAGATTGATCATCCTCCTCCGCAGAGCATCTGGTAGATGGGAACTGCATGCCTTCAGGATTACAGAGCAGCTTCTTGCCAATTGACTACCAGTCTTCCCTCGGTAGTCCATGCTATATTCAATATTCTTTACCTCCACCATTACAATTCAAAGGTATCAATTCTTCGGTTTTCCTTATTCTTTTTCAGCCTTCCCATACAAACGAAATGAATGACAACACTACAGTCCTCAAAGTGGTACCTGTGCACTTTGGCTCTGTAGAGAATATCCCCCTGTATAGGGAAATGTAGGATGTGATGGGCAGTGACAAGGTGGGTGAAACAAGTGTGTTCTGGTCCCTGGGCTTGTCCTTCCTCCATGAGCCTCAGTGATTTCAACAGTTATTTACAATTCAAACATTACCTGGTCCTGTGCTCATAAGTGAACTGTGAATGTATTCTATTTTATGTTGATCTAGTTTCATACAAAAACCATCCTTATGTATGTCACTCAGTGTGAACAGATCAAAATTTATGCAGAAGAAATCCGCGGAGACACACGAAGAAATGAAACCTGTGATGTGAATGTCTTCCCTTCCAGGAGACAAGCAAAGTTTTCCAAGTAATATGATAACCAAAAAAGTGAGGATTATAGAAAAGGTTAGGGCAGGAAGGATTAGGTCTTCCAGAAGAGCAAACTTTATGTAAAGAAAGCCTACAAAAAATGTCTCCCTTCCAACATGGCATTTATCTTTCAGATTATTAAAGTAAAACATTCTCATTGCTAAACACTTGAAAACATGACAAAGTAATGAACCAGCCACTGCTTGGAAGACACTTCTGACTCTCCGTGACCCTCTGTCAGGTTTCCAAAATTGCAGATCTTTACAGGAGGAGAATGCCCATCTATCTCCCTCAGAGTAGCTGGCAGATTCGAACTGTTGAGCTATTGCTTAGCAGTCCAACATGTTAGATATGATGCCACCAGGAATCCTCAATAAATTATGTAGAAAGATATAAAAATAACCCCAAATTTCACGATAGGCTTGGATCAGGTGCACCTTGGTCTTAAAACTGACATCATTGTTCCTTAATATCTCAGAGAGGTCCTTGACAGCAGATTTTTTCCAATGTAACATGCCTTCTGATTTCCTGACTGCTGGTGCCAAGGCTGTTGGTGGTGGGGCTTTCTGGGAAGCCACACCTAAAACTTTTAGCCCTTTAATACATTTTGAGTTAATTTTTTATACAGTGTGAGGTACAGGTCTTTTTTACTAGATGTTTGGACAGGTAACTTTTAAGATTCACTTTTCCCTTTGAATTCTGGAAAAAACAAAACCATGGAGATTATCATTTTACCATGATAATATTAAGTACTTTACTATCAGCTCTTAAGTATTTGCACAGTTGTACAACTGTCAGCCCAAGCAACTGTGGAACATTTTTATCACTCTCCATAAAAATCATGTAGCCATTAGGAGTCACACTGCTTGTATAATCACACTGCGGAATAATAGGATAGCTTTTGTTGTGGAATGTGAAATTGTGAATGAGTTTAGTCCTAAATTATTACATTTTTATTATCCTTTTCTTCTGCTCTAACTCCTTTTCCAACCACTCTCACCTAAGACACAATAACAAACCCGTGTATGAAGATTTACAACACTGAAGTATAAATCATACCATCTGAACACAAGTGCTGCTGGCAATCCAAGATCTTCTGAGTGAGGTCTTAGGTGGACTTTTACATTCTTGGTATGACAACACAGAAATAATTTTTCATTTTTATTAATGAACTTCATAAGTAATGTTTTTATTTTAGTGAGATTCATGTCTAAAACAAGCTGAGTGCTTGACCTGCCTTAATGCTGGAAGTATATGTCTTTTAGAGGGCTTTTTCTAACAGAAAAAGAATTCAGCAGACTGGGTAACCATTACTCAATTCCAGAAATATCATCAAGTTTCAATAATTCTCCTTTTTCACGAAGCATTTTTGTAATCTTAAAGTTATTAGAGAAGAAATATCTTAACTATTTTTAAAAGACCAAGTTTAATCGCAAACCTTGTAGATATTTTTATTTTTGAAGATGTAAGTTTACTTCAAGAGACAATGCTCAAGAGCCTGTCTTACCGCGCTTGATTCGGCCATCTCGTGCAAGACAGCCATGCGGGGGCACGCTGGTCACAAAGATGGGCAGCTCACCACTCTTACTGCCTCGGCCCCCAGCTACCGTCATTCCAAGGGACTCATGGGGCTCCTTCTTTACAGTAATGTGTTTTTCTTGGCATGTAACACACTGGGTAAGATCCTAAGATATTAAAAGAAAAAAAATGATTGGCTAGTGAGTAATATAAAGTCATAGTAAAGGCAGCTTACACCAATCACATCTATTATTTACCAAGTCATATTTTTCGTCCTTTACTAAAGAAACTGAAGTAACACATAGCTCTTCACAGGTACAAACAGCATAATGTGAACACTGGATTTCAACGTCAAATTTTAGACCACTGTATTTTCGTAACTATCTACTTAATATATGGGAAAAAGCTCAGGCCTGTAACAATGTGGATGCTAATATAAAATAAACACCTCATTTGTGTAACTCTTCTTGGTTCCAATTGATTCTACAATAAACTCTATAAAAGTCAATAAGATATTTGTTACATGTGGTAATTATATTCCATGTTGTATACAAAGTTCCTATGAACAGTGAATACCAAATCAGTAAAGATCAACTTTAGCTGGGAAACAGTACAGCAAGCAACTCATATTAATATGTCTGCAAAATAGCTCAGGGACTGGTTTTAGGGTTACAAAGAGATTTTAGTGAGCAGGCATTTGTGCAATGATGGAATTAGTGATTAACAAGAATTGATTACAATAATGGCATGGAAAGGCTGTTTTCTTCTGAGGGGTGGCTGGTGGATCTGAGCTGCCAATCTTTCAGTCAGTAGCCTAACATAACAAATCACCAGGGCTCCTTAATAAGAAGTTAGATTAACAAGAAAGTTCATTCCATGGGATTGTTCTAACCAACCAGGCTGGCAGAAGGAGACTTTAAAAAAAGAATTTAAAAAAGTTTAATATTACTATTTAAACATGTCACACAAAATACTTGAAAAGAATTAGCAGAATTACGAGGGAAAACACACAAACAAACCCAAAGCAAACATACATAAAATAAGGAGAGTTTTCTACATGAATGCTGGAATAATTAAGTACAGCTTTATAAACTCTTAAAATAAAATGCTGCCATAAACACTCATACCTCAAATTATGGTGGAATTCAATGAGTTAAAAAAGATTCAATAGATCAACTTCTGCCCTAATATTATAATTCTTTTGAAATATGTAATTTTAAAGCAAAGACAAAGCTGTATGAAACAACTATGATTCAAAACAGTTATCATTATGATGACAAAATTATAGGCTTTCTCTATACACTTAGGTTTTTGTTAAAAAATGTGAACAAAGTCCATGGTTATAATTTCTTTTAAATATTAACTAAACCAAAGACTGGTGACAGAATTGTACTTAAGCTCAGAAAACGAGATAAACCTGAAAGACCAAAAATACTGTGCACTTAAAGCTCTACTTTCTTAGGGGACCAGTGAAAGATTCCAAAGGTAATTATTCTCTAATTCACCTACATTAAAAAGTCATTTAAGCACACAGGAAATGTCGATTTAGAAAAAAAAAATTACATTATCTCACTTGTGTAACATATTCCAAGAATACCTCTCATCAATTTATTTCTTTCTTAAGAGTTCTGAATATTTTAAAATAGTTTTAAATATACTTTATGGCCTAATGGCAAGAAGCTGTGCTGCAATCCCAAAGGTACACGGTTCGAGGCCACAGCTGCTCCATGGGAGAAGGATGGGCAATATCCCTCCCAAGTGATTAACTGTCTCTGAAAACCCACTGGAGGGCCAGCTCTGTATCAGTTCCAACTCTACGGTAAACAACAATGACAACAACATCTTTTAGAGTAATTTTATGTTTAGGAGAAAATGCATAGATTATCCAGAGTTCTATTCCTAAAAGTCATACACTCCTGTGGTACTTTGGTTACAAATGATGCAGACACTGATGTCCACAGCAGGCAAATACTATGCACCCACTAATACACTAGCATGCAGAAGACTTGCACTACTATGGGATTTTCTCCTGTTTTTGCTCTGAGGAGTTTGCATCTCTCTGGTGTTACTAGTTCACCTTTTAAGAATGTCTAGATATTTAGATGAAAATGAACCACAGTGTTTAGTTTTAGGTCAAAAGGTCACTTAGGGCCTTAATCCTGGGGGCAAAGCTGGTCACTTTTATGATTTGAGTTTCACTATACATTTTTCTCCACTCTCTCTAGAAATCTGGAAACCTCTACTGTGATCCTTTCTGAGGTGGTAGCCAGACACCATCAAGTTTTCTGGTCTCAGAGTAGTGGAGGTTGACGTTTGGTCTATTAGCCTTTGGACTATTTCTTTGTGCTTTTGATTTTCTTTACTCTTCTTTTTCTAGACAAGTAGAGATCAGAAGTTGCCCTTTATAGATGGCTATCCACAAGCTTCTACATCCCTGGTCACTACTCACCAAAGTAGGATGTATGTAGATCATTCTCTTGTGGCCTGTTTATTCCAGGTGACCGCAAGTCTCCTGAAGCCATGAGTTGAGGGTCCAGGACTAACAACACAATCTCTATGGGTGTGTGGCCATGATTAAAGCTGTCTACATGGTTTTTAAGCAGATGGATATATTTCTGTTTTTACTTAAGGAGTATGGCAGGAAGAGTCAATTTTAGCTTATTTTCAAGTAACTGGTAAACATCCTCTTTTCTCAATTCTGTCTGCTTCATGTTGTGTGTATTGTAACATGCTGAGTTCAAACTAAAGATCAAAGGAAGCAAATTATTAAGAATGTCATAAAATAGTACTTTTTAATTTTTATTTCTAGAATGGGAGATGAGAAGACATTGACATTGTCTACCCACATAAATGACCTTATAAAACGAGTTAGATACTGATTCTGAAGAAGCAGAAACAAGGCTCACATTGGGAACCAAATGCTTGAAGGCTAGATTTCCGTTTCCATGAAGATTTACAGCCTTGGCTGCCCCAAGGCGCAGTTCTACTTTGTGCTGTAGGGTTGAAATGAGTAGGAATCAACTCAATAGCAGCAGAATTGGATTTGGTTCTATACGCTATAATATTTAAAAGAAATAAGCTATACCCCTAACAAAATTTATAAACTAAGTTTAATAATCCCACATCTAATCCTGTCATTGTGGGCAAACTTCCCAACTACTAAGCACAGACTTGCCGACCAAAGCTTCATTATGCTTTCCAATTGAATACTACGTATTTCAATCAGCTACTCAAGATAAATTCCACTTGCAAGTAGAATGACTGTAAGATTTTCTGGGAAGGCAATACACTTCTCATCAATCATTTGAAGAGGAAGCCTCCCCATCAAGACATGACCTGCACTGGCTGGGCTCAGTCACACAATTATCACATCTTACAAAACAGGTGCAATGTATCCAGCCGATTACCAGCCATGATGTAAGTCTTAGCAACTTACACCAATGATCTCTTGAAGACAAAAGGGCTGACTCACCTTATGTGAGCTGGGTCTAACAGGATACAGCTGTTGAGAGTGCTGCTGGCTGCTGATGCTCGGAGTCCCCGCCTCTCGATCCCGGGTTGTGTTAAAAGGCTGTGGCTTTCCTGGCCTGGCAACTGTCAAGTTCACTCTCTCCCCACTCGCCTGGAGAATACAAATACACATATAAAACAATCAGTCATTTGCAATGTAGATCTTTTAAAAAATTACAAGCAGAGTGATTTCAAATACACTTCTCAGTCACAGTAGACAGGTCTGTCCCGGCTGGTGCCTATGAGCACCTAGTGGTCGCGTCTGTGTGAGAAGCTGCAACGCTAACCCAGAGGTGGAGCCTCCTCGGCACGCTGAATAATCCACCAACAGCTCTATGGGAGAAAGATGGGCAAGGTCTCTGGTGCAATTTACAGTCTTGGAAACCCAGTGGAGGGTCAGCTACAAGTTAGTTCAGACTCAACAGCAAAGAGGTGTTTTGGGGTTTAAAAAAGAAAATATTTTTTAGAGGATCAGCCTATCATGGATATGCATCTTCAGAAAAGATCTCTCTATACAATGGTACTAGTGAGGATTGTAAAAACCTTAGGCAATTATGTCTGATTTTCAAATGAAATATCAGATACTGTTGAGTTTTTTTGTTCCTTGCCAACAAACCCAAATACTTATATATATTAATGAAAGGGAGGTGGTATGATTCTTAAGGTGACATTAACTGTAAAGAGGTTGGCTGCTAACAAGGATGTGGCCAGTTCAAACCCACCCAGTCACACAGGGGGACAAAGAACCAGCAACCTGCTTTCATGATGATTATAATCAAGAAACCCCCTGGGACAGTTCTACTCTGAGTGGAACTATTTTGAACCAACAGTATCCACCAGCTGCCACCTGGGGAGAAGTCTACCTGGATGATCTGGGCGGCGAGCTCCGGCGTCCCATGCTTTAGGTCGTGCCCGTTGATGGCAAGCACTCTGTCGTTGCTGCTGAGCCGTCCATCCTGGGCAGCCAGGCCCCCTTCCAGCAGGTCGAGGATAAAGACCCCGGGCTCGTCCGTCCTTCGCACTAATTTAATGCCCAGCTGCTCACTGGAGTCCCGCTTCAGGAGAATCACGTGGAAGAGCTCCTCCCGGGGGGAGCTACTGTCTGAGTGGCCAGAGGCGCGGGTGCCAAAGCGTCGCTCCCGAAGCACCGTGAGGTGCAGTGCGCTGCAGGGCTGGGACAGCACAGCTCTGGCGTAGTTATGTGACACGTTACTGATATCAAAGCTGTTGACCTACGAACCAAATGAAGCCGGCATATGACAACTTTGTATTTTCCCCAACTCTGAGAGACATCTCCACACCATTCCTAAACAAGACAAACACTGCCAAAGTGCTGCTAAATGATTCCTCTCAAAGAAAATGGTTCTAAAGACATTTTACAATATAGCCTTGCTAACATAAACTTACAATTAACTGGTACCAAACAGAGAATAGTGGCTGAGGTGGTAGACGATAAATGACAGTTCTGAGTTGGAGTCCTTGGTTGTACTACTTCCTAAGTGTCTCATGTGGGAATTTCTTAATTTGTAAGATATGTTTACTACTACATGCCTTTTCAAGTAAACAGCATATAACAGACAATTCTAAATCTTACTTTACGAAAAGTGAAATGTTCTAGGTGACTTTAAAGAAAATGGGATAATCATAATTTCGGTCAGTTTCTTTAACACATAAGTGTAATACACAAATACTACATTAAGCAAAATCAAATATTCATATAAGGCTTATCCATGAAACCTTCCGTGTAAGCTTGAATAGGCATTAGAACCAATCTATGCGTATATTTAGTTCTTTGTTGTTGTAGTATTGTTAACTGCCTTCGAGTCGAGCATGACTCATAGTGGCCCTTATGAACAAAAGGCTGGATGTGCCTTTACAACTACTGACATTTATCAAAGTTCACTGAGTTTCTGGAGGCATGTTGTTTAGAAAGTGGATGTCACTAATGCCTTAGAAACTGTATTATCGTTAAGAGAACTCATTGTCATTATGCTGGAACTGACTCATAGCTAACCTCCAGTGAGTTTTCAGAGGCTGTAAACTGCACATAAGGATACTGCCCATCTTTCTCCTGAGGAGGAGCTGGCAGATTCAAACTGCCTGCCTTTGGATTGGCAGCTCAATTCTTTACCTACTAGGCCATCATTGCTCCCATGCTGTTGTTTATGTGCTGTCCAGTACAACTCATTGAAACCCTATATAAACAGATGGGAACCTTACCCTACCCTGCACCATTTCTTGATCTCTGACATGTGTGAGCTCACTGTTATGGTCAGAGTCAATCTACCTCCTAGTTACAATAAAAGACTGGTTATCATGATTCAAGTTCCTCTCCTAATCTTTGTCGTTTTTTATTTAAACCTCTTATTTAGAGTCAATAGGACCTGGAGGAGGACCTGTGTATTTAAGGTCGGGACCTAAGTCTCCAGTTTGGAGGCAGGTGGGTGAAGTAGTTGGATCCTGAAAGGTAGGCTCTCTTGTTTTGTTTGACGGTTGGGTGTGGACTGTTTGGTTGTTTGTTTGTTATTTAAGCTTCTTCTTTAAAGTGAACAGGACCTGGTGGAGGGCCTTTGTATTTAAAAGTCAATTGTTATCCTGTTTTGGAGGAACATTCTCCTAAGTGGTACAGCACTGTCAATTTGTTGCACAGAGGCAACCCTGGGTTGCTATAATGCTGAACCCTGTTCCAACTAGTGTGTCAAATGCCATAATGGTTATCCAATGTTTGGTAGAACTCCCAGATTAAGATAGGTTTGGAAACAGGAGTGGCATCCACTTCCTAAACAACAAGCCTCTGGAAACTATGAACTTGGAGAAACAATGATAGTTATAGAACAGGGTTCAGGTCTTTTGTTCATAGGGTTGCTATGAGTCAGGCTGGATTTGATGGCAATTGACAGCAACAACTGAGAAGAAAGCAAGGAGAAACGAGTGTCCCCTGAACATCTGTTTTGGACAGGTTTTGGGTTAGGTGTTTGTATAATCACTGTCTTTTTATTAAGTCCAAGCTAAGCAAGGTCTCTTCCATCTTGGGATGGAAGTTTCAAATCCTATCAACTATAATTTTGTTGATTTTGCCTGCTGAAAGCTTTGAAAAATTCTGTTCCAAATTCACAGATGTCCCACACAAATCTGTTGTTCTCTCAAGTTTGTGATATTCTTATATTTTGCTAACTATACAAGTCTGTGATAGAAATGTTGACTGACCAGCTCTCATTGCTGACTGTTGTGATAAAAAATTCTATGGGAGAAACCTGATCAAAAGGAGTAAAAATGCTGAAAAGAATTTTACGTTCTCATAGAATCCAGACTTCAAGGTACAGTACCACAGAGGCTGGCTGGCTGGCTGAGCCACCAAAACTATTTCGATGGAGTACTCTAAACTTAAAGCTTTCTTTAAATACAGACACTGAAGACTTCTTTAAATGCAACAATTTATCTTGAACAATTTGCTCTTTTAAAAAAACTATCAAATTGACAATACCAACTCAAAAGGTTACACAGAAGCTTGAGGACAGTGAATTTATGTTAATGGGGATGATCAATTTGGAAGTGGGGGGTGAGAGAGGCACCATAAATGGAAGAATATGATCAGTGTTGTGAAATTCTACATGAAGAAACTGTTCAATTGATGCATTTTGCTGTGTGTAATCTTATCAACAAAAAAAAATTGTTGACTGATAATAGAGTCAAGAGGAAGACTTTAAACAACATTTGGAAAACCAGGCTGATTATTCAACTATAAAGTTACCTATCTGACTTTATATTTTCTCACTTCGCATGTGGGCATAAGTGACACCACTGAGCACTGGCTGATACCCAGCCATCATTTCCAGGTAGATGCAAGGGCATAACCTTACATCTTTGTGAAGCAGGTGGGGAATAGCCTACAAGTGGAAAACAATTTTTCTTCCATAAAGGCATGGTTGCTAGTGAAATGTGACTAAAGTAGGAACTAAATAAAATACTATTACTAAATCTTTTAGAAACAGCACTACATATGCAGGCTATTCTGTGTGACCCTGTGTCAAGCAAGTCTAACAGTGCCATTTTTCCAACAGCATGTGCTCACTTCACGTCTCTGTTTCGTTCTAGTAATTCCTGCAACATTTCAAACATTCTCATAATGCTACTACACACAAAATAGCAGTTTAGTGTACGTAAGTTTTTATGGGAAAACATAACTGTCATTGAGATAACAAAACACTTACCTACTCTATTTATTACTATATTACCTTTATAGTAGTAGTTAGAAATGGAACCTGCTTTATCTCCACAGTATGTTGCATAAAAATTTAGTTAGTGTTATTAAACAACTCCTTAAAACAGAAGCATTAAAAAGCCTAAAGATGAAATATACTAATAAAAACCCCTTGAACAGAACACAAAAATAACTGCACTCTTGACCTTCACAACCATTGTTCCAAGAAGTCTGGGGATGTTCACGGCACACAGCTGTAAGATCCACCCTGAGTAGACTAAGGTCAGAAGCCAGGGACTGAGGACCATGAGGTCTGGGGGTTTCTTCAAAGATGGCCCAGTGCATGCAGCTAGAGTAGAGCATGGGCGTCTTGGAATGGCAGTCGGGACACAGTGAATCTGTAGCTATCGTAGGATGGAAACATGATTTTCTTTTACCGGATCAGTGATGCTTCCACAGTTTCCCATTTCTTCTTGTTGTGTGCTGTCGAGGGGGTTCTATCACATAGCTACCCATGTACAACCAAAAGCAAAGAACCCGCCTGATCTTACACTATATTCATGCTTCCCGCTGTGCTGCAGCTTGTTGTTGTAGCTGCTGTGTCAATCCACTTGATTCAGAGTCTTCTTCCTACTAACTCTCCCTTTATCAAGCACCACACCCTTCTGCAGAGACTCGCCCTCCTGATAACATGCCCAAAGCATGCAACGCGATGTCTCTCCATCCTTGCCTCTAAGAAGCATTCTGGCTGCACTTTGTCCAAGACAGATGTAATTGTTCTTTTGGCAGTCCACGAAATTCAATATTTTTCAGTAACACCACACTTCAAGTATTTTGTAAAAAATGAGACATTTTTTGAGTACAGTCTGTCTCAGCCATGCTAAGGGTGAGTAAAGGACAGGCCTGCGCTGGAGGTTCTGGGGTAATAATATGCTCTGAGGGGCAGCATAGAAGTGAAGATGGGAAGTAAATCTAAAAATACCTTCTGGAGATTTCAAGATCTAAAAATCCTAGATGCTCTAAGTTTGTCTTAGTAAAAGAGACTGCTCGTCTTTTAAGATTTAGCAAGCATTCCTTGAGTACTAACCACAGGCATAGCTGTGTAAGAAACCATATCGTGATCCTTACCATTACAGTGGATACAATCACCCTGAAAGAAAGACAAAATATTTAATAAGTTGTTGTGACTAATTGCACATCTCAAAAGATGCCAGGGAGCTCTGGTGGCTCAGTGGGAAGGAGCTGAGCTCCCAATTCAAAGGCAGGCGGTCTGAACGCACCAGCTACTCAAGGGAGAAAGATGGGAAATCTCTTCATAGGTAATTTACACCCACTGAAAAATCCACTGGAGGGTCAGTTATGAGTTGGTTCCAACTCGATGGCTCATCACAACAACACAGGGTGTCACTCTGAGGACTAAGGTGCACCTTTTGATCGTCTCACAGGCACGGGAAAGTGAGACAATGAATAAGAAAGATCAAAGAGCTAATGTTTTTGAAACAAACACCAAATAATCTATAGGCTGTCAGAAGAATAAGCAAATTTGTATTGGAAGACATGTAGACAGAAGGCTCCTTGGAATCAGAATGGCAAGACTTCAGGGCTTGCTATCAGGAGAGACCAGTCCCTGAAGAAGGACATTCATCTTTGATCGAGTAGCTACAACAATGGGTGCAAACATAGCAATGATTCCTTCCGATGTACTATGTAGAGCTGCTATGAGTTACAAACAACTTAAACTCAACAAAAAAAACGGCACTATGTGTCAAATGATAGAGAGGACAGCAATAAATGTTATCTGTAATTAAGGTAGGAGGAGATTACTAAAGGCTAGATTAGCTAAATGAAGCTTTGTGTTTGATGGAGCATAAAACACAGACAAGGTAGAACTATGCGAATAAAAGAACAAGAGGACACTCAGGAATGGCTCGACGAGACTGTAAATCCCACAAGGGCAGGGACTATTCTTGATTTTACAAGTAGCAACTAGTACAGTGTCAAAAATTGTAAATATTGGTATGTATCTGTTGCATGCATAGATTAATAAATGGGATGAATAAACTGATATGCCTGAAACAAAAGATGAAAAAGACAGGTTATGAAAGAGCTCATGGAAGACTCTATTACACTGAGCCTCTGGTCAAATCTTTGCACGGAAAGTGATGTCACAGATGAATTAATTTGTAGTGATCACATCAGGTCTGAGAGAGGGGAGCTGGAGGCACACGTTTCATGGGGTAGTCTACAAAATTAGAGATGAAGTAGCAAAGGCCTGGTGCTAGGAGAGGAAATGAAAGGAAGGGGTGGGTATCAGGAAAACCTTCTCCTAGAAAACCTAGGTACTTGAGTTTCTAGAAGACTTTTTGTAGTTGCTAAAATAATCTTTCTCTCTTCTTTTAGCTCTTACTTTAGCTTAAACTATCATGCAGACCTGGAGGATTCAAATTGGTCAGGCCAGTATTCACACATACACCAATGCCTTAATAATAGAATCTACACCATCCCCATCTTCAATATGCTCTCTGATCTTGTCTAAAGCTAGTGTTTTGTTTACGGATTTTCACATTCTGTTGGATCATCTTTTTTTATTTATTTTTATTTTATTTTATTAATTTTAATGAACATTTACAGAGATTTTGGATTTTCATTCATTCATTGTCAAGCTAGTTTTTTTATCAGGAAGATCACCACAAAAGTGCAGAAGATAACAGTAGCATAAAAAGGTTAAAAAAATGGAGAGTTAGAATGTTTGTTAAAGAAAGAATAAAATTACAATGAATGTTTGCATTAGGGAGTCATTAAGAGATGATTAAATGGCTTCTAATCATCATTTTAAGTACTACGGTATTAAGTTTAAGTAACTATGCTGCAAGAGCCTATGGTGATGAAAGAAGAAGTTCAGGCTGCTTTGAAGGACATGGCCAAAAATAAGGCTCCAGGAATAGATGGTATACCAATTGA